TATCGAACGGGCTATGACGTCATTGAACTTTCTGTGACGTCATGCCAGTGACGCTCAGCCGACGGCGACCGGACGCGACGCGACCCACGAACCGTGTCATCGACCAACTTCTTCGAAAAGCCCTTCGAGGGTCACCGACGGATTCGCCTAATTCGGATCGCCCTGTCCCCTCGAAGCGAGGTCATTTTTCTCGAGATCCGTCCATCCTTTCGTCCTTCGTCAACCCCTTCAAAATCCGTGCCTATCGCGGTTCTAATAACTACCCTTGGTAGCACGATCGTTGATATTTCAGAACTGGGAACGTCTTGGGCTTCGAAATCATTTTTCAACATCTGTGTCAAGGATTCTGCTCTGGAATGAATTGCAGCATTTCGAATGTCCCGTGATCGGTAGGCCGTAGTTCCTCGGAGAATTGATAGCTGCGTATCGAAGCCAGCCGAATTAGATTTTCATGGGACGATCGAGATCTTGAACGACGAAGTTCGGAGTCAATTTCTAGGGGTAAATAAATCATCGCGACCGGTGCTCGCTCCGTTTAATAAACGCGACTAGCTACCCTGACCGATATCGCGCCTCGAATTATCATACTTTTCCGACGAAGAACGAACCGCGGATCGAGTAACTCGGACAAATAATTCGTCGCAGCCTCTTCCTACAACATCGAATATGTTCCCAGGATCATCCAGGACGTCCTAAACTTTTCGACCACCGCGAAAACACGTCCGGCCGAACGTGCGAAAAATCTCGAGATGCGACCGCGGCTGAAAGAACGCACGCGGCGAAAGAGGCGCGAGCAGTTCGACAAAGGAGCCGTTCCCGTTTCCGAGCGGTTGCCAACCAGCGTCTATTTTCCGTGCGTCGACGGCGAGTTAGCGAAGAGGCTGGCAGAGCCGTGGAAACTGATTAGAGCTTATCTCGAGGCGGCTGATGGAGCCATTGTACGGTTCGTGTCCTCGGTGATTAGATTGCGGCTGGTGTCCCGCCGACTCCGAGCCGGGATATTCGCGGAAGTCTCGAGGGTTTCTAGACCGGAGTCCGCAGTTGTTTTCGCGGGGGTGGTCGCGGTCGTTGCTGGTCGCTGGTTGCTGGTTGCTGGTGACTGGTGTGCGCACGTGCTCCAGCCGTTTGTACGTAGGGCAGTGTGCAGCCGGAGAGAAGGCAGCGTGCCGGCAACCCCCGGGGACCATTGATCTGACGTTCCCCGCGGTGACGTCACGACCGCCGGAACAGAAGCGGGTCAAACGTCACGAAAAATGGCTCTGCTCGGGGGTCTCTCTGCTGGCTGCGATTCAAGGATGTATCGTATTTCACTCTCATAAATCGATCGTTCAACGTCGTGCCGCCGGTAGACAGTCGGCGGTGGCATCGCGTTTGCATCCGAAATCACGGGAGCCGATCGATCCGCGAGACCAGTCACGGTCCTGCTCGCTGAAAAAAGACCCCGCGGGACTGTGCGGGAGCACGCGAACCCTTTAGCGTCGCGATAGCGAAGGTCCAACCCCCTTCGAACGTCGCCGAACCCTGGATCTCGGCGTTGCCAGGATTTCTGAAGCGCCGATTATAATCGATCCGTGCGTCGTGTTCCGACACGATCCCGCGATTTCGTCGACTTCGAACCGACGGAAACACGATCATCGTTACGGGCCGGTCGCGTTCGAGCCTGCGAAAGTTTCGCGAGCCGGCGTTGCTCGGGCTTCGATCGACGCCGCCGTTATCTATCGGATCCGTCGAATTGAAACTGTAAACGCGATGGGGATTGCGTTATTTACGTGAACGCAGGTCGATTCCGATGGAAAAGGTCGGAGCACGGACGACCGTCGGCCCTCGCGTGAACGGTCCGGTCATTCGATACCGTCGCAAATCGTTTCGGCATTTACCCCGGAACAGGCGAGATCGCGATCGCGGCCGACACGGATGTCGCGAGCCGTCCCCGCGGATCGACGAAAACCCGGCGCGGTTTAGACGAGAATCTGCGTGGGAAGGAAGAATCGAGCGACGGAATAATGAGCGGAAGATAATGGGCGCGTTACGAGCCGGCCAAGGATCCATCCGGGCCGGGCCGGGCCGCCGGAGCTGGCTTGTGTGTCGCCCGCGCGTTCAATGCATGCTTGTAACGAGTGCGAGTTTCTGAGGTCCCCTCGAAATAACGAGGCCTCCGAACAAAAGTGCAGAGCTTCTCGCGCGCCAGCATGGACCACGCGGCCGGGAGTGCGGCCGTTACGTAATAATATCTCTGAAAATTCAACGTGTTATTACTCCCTGGCACGAGGGCGCCAGAAACAGGCAATTGAATCCCCTCGAGCGCGAGGACCTCTCCACAGTGCATTCCTTCATCTTTCCGCTCTGTCTCTAGCCGCGGACCTAGGACCCTCCGTTGTCGCGATACTTTCGCGAGCTCGTTAACGGAGATGGCCCATTCGCGAGCGTTCTACCGGCTCCGAAAAGTATTTGCTCCAATCTCGCGGAACGGAATCGTGCAGCAGGTATCGTCCGCCTTCGCGACCCATCGTTCGTTCTTTTCGGTTCGCACAACGATACAGACAACAGTAGCAGACGTCGCAGAACTTTCCGTTGTCACCGTCGTGTCCACTTAAAGACAAATCATGGACCGACGAGGCCAATCAAGACCGCCCAAGGACCACCCAAGGATCAAGTTCGCAACTCGGACAATTTTCGAGAAAAAGAAAGGCGGCAGATCGGAGGCAGCGGAGGAGTCGAAGGAGATTGGAATCACAGCCTCCATTTAGCCGACGTCGTCCGCGCTCTGAAAGGAGACATCCGTTCATCCGTGTCGTCCTCGAAGTTCACTAACCCTAATATCGTCCCGGCCGGAGTCCCAGGAGAGACGAGAGACGGCGGTGCCTCGGGACGCGCGGATAGACCTAGGAGCAGATAGAGAGAGAGAGAGAGAGAGAGCCAGAAGCAGGTGGAGAAAGAGAGGGCGAGAAGAAAGGGTAAAAAAGGAACGAGGAGATAGGCGGAGAAAGAGGAAACGCGGGACGAGGTTCCAGGTGCGGAAGGGGAACCAGAGAATAGACCGGCATCAGCGGGATCCGCCAAACAGTCATGCGTTGCGGGCGAGAGAGGAGAGTGTGCCCAGAGAGGAAACGGGGGGAGGGAGGGAAGAGGGAGGAGGGAAAAGGGGAGAGTTGGAAGAGAGGGTGAGGGCGCGGATTCCCTCGTTTCTTCCCGGGTGGTTCTATCCCTCCTCCGTTTATCGATCGCGGTCCGGCCGCGGCGGCGGCGGCAGTAGCGCAGCATCGTCGGCAGAAATCACCAACGGTGGTCCGTACAAGCTCAGTGGGCACCCGGCCACAACGCCGGCAGAACTGCTTCGATCGGTGGTTGTACGATGCTTCTCCACGCATTGCGTCACGCAGTCACCGCCAGCTGCACGAGTGCAACCACGGATGATCAGTCCCGAGAGCCCTTCACGGCGATGCATGCCGCCCGAATGATTGACGTTTGCAGGAAACATTAACCTCCTGCGCTGCGAACTGTTTCGATCCCCGAAGCAGGACGCGCGCGGATCCTCGGAATGCGAGGACGTCGTTGTTCTCAGGCTCCTGTCGGAAACACGGTTCTCTTTTTCTGCTCTGGTAATTTTTAGAATCGAAATCGCAGGCGGTGCAGCAAATTCTCCCTAATCGACGCTCGGATCGTGCAGAAAAATGGACAATTTGGGAAGAGGAGATACGATTATTCGAGTCTTGCGGTTTATTTTTATAGCTGTCGACAATCGGTAACTATAATAAACGAGGTGCAAAGCTCTAAACATTGCATCTCCTCTTCCCAAATTGTCCATTTTTCTGCACAATCCGAGCGTCGGTTAGGGAGACATTACTGTAGTCTGAAAAATTAACGCTTTTCATAAATTAAGATACAAATTCGGTGTACCGTCGATTATTAAACAGCAAGAAACAGAGCATTTTCAGCAGTTGCCGAATGGCACAAGTATTTTGGCTACTTCGTCTGCCAAAGATTGGCCTTCGTTTGCCACTTTCGGTAACGGGTGTACAGAAGATCCTGGGACATTTCACCTGTTTCTGCTCCAAACTTTGAAGCAACAGATTCCATGGAGAGCGTATGCCTACTCCGGTCCGAGGAACGTATACGATTTGTTTTGAACCGTGTCATGATACTTCTAAAACGACGAGCGGAGACCCTTCCTGACGGAACATATTCAACGGACAGCATGCTCGCCTCACCATCAGTTTTGATCCCCTGACTACGATGTAATTCCAGGGCTAGGAAGTTTCAAAAATTTTGAAATATATCTTCCGGGATCAAAGGATCATCGCCTGCAAGGAGGATCGTCCGCCAACAGGAGCATCGATCAGGATCACAGCGAAGTGTATCTCCGCGACGAAGGGTTTATGGCATCGCGGCGGAATAAAATCGGAGGAAGATTTGGAACGTGAAACTTGGACCTACGAAGCGTCTAGCAGAGCTGGCGACTAATAGGTGCGATTTTTTTAAAGCCTTCGGGGCGGTCGGGTCCCTGAAGTAGGTGCAGGAGTATTGGACGGTTGAAATCAATGGTCCCTTCTGAATTGGATCGCTTCGACGCTGTCCGGTAAACGTACTTGCGCTTTCTACGGTCGATCGAGGTTGCTTTCGCGAGTCATTCGAGGGAAAACGATCGCCGGAACCTGGAAAATCGGGGAGCCATGGATTGACGAATTCTGTCCACCATGGATCCAAGAGGATCTTCTTGCCCGAAGAAGATCTAGAGAAGATCGTCTCGCGAACGGCTCGCCAGGAAATCGAACATTTCGGCCGACAGTGTCGCCGAATGAAATCCGAGGGCGAAGGGATGAAACTTCGGGGTCCTCTGGACGGGTCCCCTCGTAGCTACAACCCTGTCGGCGCGTGTGCGCGCTGGCTGGCGGCGCAGCAATCCCTAGCGAATGCTAGTCCTAGTCTGCGCCAATGGTGTGCGCGCCAGTGGCGTCCCGTATACCGCCAAAAAGCATCGAGGTCGAGCGGGTGGCGGCGATCGTGGTCGACAGGGGCCGGAGATAGTCGGCGACGGCCGAACAGCCGCGAATCAGGGCTCGTGCGCGGTTTGCCTAGCTGCAGGCGCGCAGTGCAGCCGCCGGTACTCCGCCAGGACAGTCGCGGCTCGGCGATGTTTCAGCCGAAGCTGAGCTGAGCACACGAGGGACGCTCGTGTCGCCGGCGCAGGCGGTTTTTCTTCGTAACTTTCTCTGTCGCCCTCGGTTACCCCCGGTTCTCTCTCTCTCTCTCTCTCTCTCTTTCTCTCTCCCTCTCTCTCTCTCTCGGTCGTGAATCTGTGGTTAGCTTGTCAGCGGGACCAGCACGCGACCACCGCTCCAACAGCTCCGCCAGCCAGCCAGCCAGCGACTACGTAAGTGCTCCGTGACGATCGTAGTGTCGTTAGAACCTAGATCCGAGTGGCAGGTTTCAGGATCCACGGCTGAAACAGGTGGAAACCGTCGGAGACGTCGCGAACGCTTCACTGTGTCGATTAGGTTGGTCGCGTCGGTGCGACGAGACGCGACGTTCCGTTTGGCGTCTACGACGAGCTCTATCCTGCTCGGTGATATTCCGGAGGTACCGATCGGCTGTGGCCTATTTCGTGGAACCGTGATAGCGTGATCGGGAGAGCTGCACTGCAGCCTCAATATCATCTCCGACGTTCCCGCGGCGATTGATCAATGCGATGTCCGGTGGCACCGCGTCGAGAGCGGGTTAATTGCTTCGAGTTCTCCTGGAATCCAATAAAACGTCTCGATTTAAAATACGGAACGGCGGAATACGGTGGCAACGCGCGATCCGCGACGTGCGACGACTGGTTCTTCGAAGAAATCGTTTGGAAATCTGTGACATCGATCCCGGGGGATCGAGCTGATTCGATCGCGATGCCTCCAATTTGATATCGCTCGGCGATACGTGTAATATTATTAGGCCTCGATTACAACGGTTTCATTATTCACGGGGTGCTCCTGGTCGATCCGTTGCTTCCTTGAATTTTTAAGCACAGTCCGTTTAAAGGTCTCGCTCGATTATTATTAAATCAGCCAATTAGCCGCTGGGATTTCGATCGGGCAGCTGACAGAGAGAGAGAGAGAGAGAGAGAGAGAGAGATCGACCGGGAGAAGGATTTTCAACGTAGACGCAATGCGGGGGCTTTTGTTTGTACAGGATACAGGATACCATGCACTCTTTCGACGCGTAAATCATCGAACGATTTTCTAAAAATACGGCAACACCTGGAAAGGATCAAATTGTTTTAAATTAATTCGAGTACCACGGCGGTACCGTGCCGAATATATTCTCGTCGAAGCTAAGTTCGAAAATGACGGAATTACTTTTAGCTGTCCCGGGGACTATTTTAAAAGCTAATGGAACCGAACAAATTGCAGCGGAATTATTTCCGGTCGCTCGTACGTTGTTCGGACGATTCCTAGAGCCGGATTCCGTAAACAATCCGTAGAATTTGCGACCTGGATTCGAAATCTTTCGGAAGGATTCGCGATCGAAGCAACCGAGTTCGGGTTCGCCCGGACGTTCTATTGAAAATTTGAGCAGCGTGCTTTAGTTTGACGGCGGCGTCGGGTTTCGCGCGGCGTCACGTGAGGATGAGGAACGTGTGCGGCCAGATCGATCCTAATCGCGCAACACGGCAATCGAACGTTACTGAACAGCACAGAAAACAGAGCGTAAAAATAGAAGGCGACAGGACGTGTACTTGGCCGTAGCCTATCCGGCACGATGTTATCCTGCCGCGGCGCGGCTGGCGGGTGTCCTTGTTCTTGCGACCGCCATTGCGACATGTCAAGGCGAAACGCGTACGTACGTGTAATATTAGATCGGTACGATAGCCCTTGCCGGCAACAACGTAATAATTTCTCCGAACACCCGACGACGTACGTTCGACCGTATTCTCTCTCTCTCTCTCTCTCTCTCTCTCTCTCTCTCTCTCTCTCTCTCTTTTTCTCGCTCGCCCTCTCTCTCTCTCTCTCTCTGTCTCTTTTGCTCTCTCGCTCTCTCGCTCTCTCTCTCTCTCTCTCTCTCTCTCTCTCTCTGTCTCTGTATCTATCTACTGGTCCAGTCTTATTGGCTGCGGTTCTCACGTGATTCCCTCTCGCTTTCCCACAGGACTCCGGAGCGTTATCCTTCCGCCACCTGTCCCAATTTCGCAGATGCGCCGCCCGCGTTTCTAGAATTTCAATGGATGCTGCGAGTTCGGTTCCGATGGAATGGTTCCACTGTCGATTGTTGGGCTATGTCCATTGAAAATCGTTGATCCTACCTGCGACGGTCCGAGGATCTTCGAGCAGCTAGTATCAATTTCTAGTCCGGTCGAAGTCTTGCGATGTAGATCGTTTGCTTTCGCTGTTCAAACATCGAGGATTCCTGATCAGTGTTCTCGTTTGAACTGGGTAGGAATAGGTTCCATAAATTGCACAGATTACGAGGAAACATTCGGAGGTTATTTATGTATCCAGAATTCTTGTTGCAACGTGTTCCCGGTTGTAGATTAGCCACTGGTAAGACGAGGAAGCTAATTACAGTAATGTCTCTCTTACCGACGCTCAGATTGTCCACTAAAATGGATCATTTGGGAAGAGAAGATGCAATTTTTAGAGCTTTGCGCCTCGTTTATCATAGTTACCGATTGTCGACAGCTGTAAAATCGAGCCGCAAGGCTCGAATAATCGTATCTCCTCTTCCCAAATTGTCCAATTTGTGGCCAATCTCGGCGTCAATTAGAGAGACATTACTGTATTACGTTGTCTGTCTTACGCTGCCTGTCCGATTCTACTTTCTCGCACCTGTTTACGATGCTGTCGACAATGGCGCAACGCAAATTGCTTCTCCGTCTCTTTACCGTCTACAGAGAGAGCTACATGCTCGCCGCGTTTCTACGTTTCGTGGAAAAATAACTCGTTCGTGCCTGCGAGTGTACAGCATCTCCTCTAAAATTACCTTCGCGTTCAACATCCTGGTCCGCTATTAATATCCTCGATAGAATCGGATATCGCCTGTGTACCCAGCATCCGGTGCAGAAGAGTTCCCCGATCGAGTTGTCGAAAATGTGCAAGATCATGCGAACGCGTAACAAGCATGCAAATACGGGAGATCCGCGGCAGACGCGCGGCAAACGAGATCGAACAAAGGCCGATCGGGAAGAATCGTGTCCTTGGGGGACCGAGCCCGCGTATCCGCCTAATGAAAAGTACGACTGGTCCTGCTCGGTTCTCCGAAGAGTTTCAGAGAACCTAAAAGCGTGCAGCCGACCTTGCCCTTGCCGTGAACGCAACGAATCCCCGAGGTGGCGTACGTTTTCATAGCGTCGGCCACGGGCCGTGCAACAACCAGTCGATATATCGATTCATTTCCGATAATATATTACCTCCCAAGGTGATAACGAGTGCACGGGTCTGTGTGCGTATGCGTGCATCGTTCACGCACTGTGCCAGCCTACCGCCGATGTCTTCCAGGCTATCGGATTTTCCCGTTGATCGTCCGAACAAAGCCGTCGTTCCGACGCCGTTTCGAACCGACGAATCCGCTCGCCGACGGCAATTAAACGTTTCCCGAGACGTCCGATTCGACTGATCGGCTGCCACGAGCCCGACAGAGTCCTCCGGCAAGGAGAATTCCGAATCGTGTTAAGGGCTGCGGCATCGTCTTGACCGCGATCCGCGGTAATTACGCGACGAAAGAGTGAAATTTACAATGCAGATTCGATCGACGCGGATACAACGGCGCGAACAGCCGGGATGTTTGCTCTGCGAGACGATAGGCACATGGTAATAAGGGCTCCTGCCCTTATTGTCGGCCCTGCCGGACTCCGCGGGCCAGCACAAACGAATCTCCATTCGGTTTCTTTGGCTCCGGGCGGCAACGGGATTATTGTTCGGCTCGTGATGTTTTCGGCATTGTTCCCTTGGCAAGCCAATCCTGCAGCCTAATTACCACACACCACCGCCAGCTCGTCTCTATTCCGGGCAGCTCCGAGTTCCGGACACGCCCGAAGATCCTCCGCATTGTCCGACAATATTTTTAACAACGAATTTCGAGATGACTGCTATTCGTCGAACGAATCGCGAACAGTTGGTGTAAATATTCCGAAGTCGGTCCAGTCGAAAATTGCTGAAATCGCTCGGACAGAAATTCAGACATTTCGCTTGCAAATTATTCTATCGTTTTCTTATTCCGTTATTGTCTCATGATCTGCTGAATCGCTGACGTAATAACATCGACGAAATTTCTGTCGCTCGGCGAACGCCGAATCTAATTAATTTCGAAATCTCGTCCTTTATCGTCGCGATAACGCGTACACCGATATCCAGGTTGACTTCATTTCTCGTTGAATCGATCTGTCGCTGAAACGATGGCGAATCGAAGAATCGTTCCTTGGATTTCAATCGGGGAACTAGGCTGTCGCCGTGTCCGCGAAAAACACGGGAAATTCCGCCGGTTTGACGGCAATTAACGATATTACATGGCCCCGGGAAGCGATACGCGTCCCGGCCGATCCATATCGCTGCAGACAGCGGCTGTAATCGGATCAAGCCTGTCACCGGTTTTGCAATGTGCAACGCGGTGGCGCGGCGCATCTCCGTGCGAACCGCGACGAGCGAAGGGTGCACGAACCCGGCCGCGATATAGAGCGGGCCGCGGGTATTTCTAGAGCAGCCCGGTTAAGAATAGAACGGCAAATAGACGGCTGAATTAAATATAGCCGGTGAACGACCCTCAAGTAGATTACGAAATTTCATTGAAGTCACGGAAGTCCGGAGTAGTAACCCGCCTCTGTCCGAGGTCTTCGTATCGGAGCCGATTCCGGCCACCGAGGGTTCAGCTGGCCTTATCCGACGACGATAAGCTCGGGGACCATCGGGTCCAATCGTCCCGAGTCCCCATCGAATTTTTCTTCTCCCTCGTTCTTCTCTCTCTCCTTCTTCTCCCTCGGATTGTCCATAGAAATAGACAATTTGGGGAGAGGAGATACGATTATTCGAGCCTTGTAGCTCGTTTTTATAGTTGTCGACAGTCGGTAATTAATTATAGTTATAAATTGTCCACAATTATAGAAACGAGCCGCAAGGCTCGAATAATCGTATCTCCTCTTCCCAAATTATCCAATTTAGTGGACAATCTGAGCGTCAATTAGAGAGACATTACTGTCCCTTACCGACGCTCAGACTGTCTCTTATACACATCTAGATGTGTATAAGAGACAGCTCTCTAATTGACGCTCAGATTGTCCACAGAAATAGACAATTTGGGAAAAGGAGATACGATTACCAAATTTTTGTGCACAATTTCGGCGTCGATTAGGGAGATATTACTATATTGCCTGGTTTATTTTTGCTACCAATGATTGGTAAAATAGATCGGTCGAGTAACTCTTCTCGTCGCGGCTAAAATATTCGAAATTGTGTACAATTTTCATTGGAAGCTTGGGTTTCAATTCGGTTTCCGAATAATAAGTCGTTTCCCAAGATAAACCGGTATCTATCGATCTTCCAACGAAAGCTCTAAGTCTTGACCCAAGCTGCTAAATCGTTGATTCGTTCCTTTTCCTACAGAAAGACTGCCGATGACCCAGCATCTCCGGTTTCCCTGAAACGTAAAGAATGAAAAAAAGAAAGCAGAGCTCTCCGGGTCCTTTGACGAAAGCTGATTCCGACCGTAATCGCAGGTGTTAAATTGTAAATCTGAGGTTTCTCCGACCCAAAGCAGCGGACGATACGGTGGTCGCCGGTATCCGTGCAACGTAAAATTGCACAAAGACGGAGTTCTTGTCAGCTTTCGATCGAGAGCTCGGGTCCAAATTCTCAAAGGTGAAATCGGCGAATCTCGGCGGACCTCTGCGGCGGACTTCTGAAAAAGCGGAAGCTAAATCGGAACCTCCGCAGCCGGGGGTTCCGCGAGATAAAAAGCCGCGGTTGACCGTTGAATATTCTGATAACGAACCTACGTCCTTCCGACGCGTCGGGACGAAGAGAAAAATGAATTCCGTGGACTGAAAGGAGCGGGTTCCCCGAGGGCGGAGGTACCAGGCTCATCAGCTAAATGCGGTGTCCCCAGGTACGTTTGTCAGCCGGACGGCTCTACGCTCTTGCTCCGGAAGAGCCCGTATCTTTCATTTATGGGCAGCGGGTCGTCGCTGGCAGAAATATCCCGGAATAATTGGCAGCTGGTAAAAAGCCTCGCCGGTAGCGGGCCGAGTCATCTGCAACGGAAAGCCATTTCGTCGCAGACGTTTCCTCGGGTCGACGTTAACGAGGATTATAAATATCGAGAAAAACGAGGGGGGCCAAACGCTCGCGCGTCCGCGCGAGTCTTTCTTGCCCGCGAGTCGCGGGAACGAGGGAGGAGAGAGAGAAAAAAAAAGGAAAACACGATTCGATGGAAATCCAATAGCCAATAGAGTCGTCCGACGGTGACCTAAAATTCGCTCGTTCACCTGAACTCCGTCAGAAAACGGGGAATCAAACGCGCGCCACCGAGCAAACGGCCGGCCACGTTTTCCGCGCGTATCCGCGCTACGCTCGCCTCGCGCTCGAGAACACCTGGAAAGCTCGTCGCTACGTCGACGATCGTTCAGCCGGCTGTGAACCAAGCCGACGAACGTTCGCGACACTCCTCGAACCGGTGAGCCGACGCATCGTCGACGTTTTTGCCGTTGCTTCGGATTTCGCCTTCTTCGCTCGCGAAATTCACTGTCGCCGCGCGCTCGAGTCGCGATCTTGGCGATCACTGGCCTGTGGGATATTAAGGAGGGTGCAGACTACAGACAGTGAACTTTTCGTCCGCAATCTGTAACCGAACGGACTTAAAATTGATCGATACAGTAATGTCTCCCTTACCGACGCTCAGATTGTCCACAAAAATGGACAATTTTGGAAGAGAAGATACGATTGTTCGAGCCTTATCTCCTCTTCCCAAATTGTCCATTGCTGTGCGCAACCTGAGCGTCGGTAAGGGAGACATATTACTATACCTCGGATCCTACGAGAGTCGTCGCAACATTTTTGGAAAGGTTCGATCCTCGGTGTATAGAATCGAATCGAAACTGAAATTTAATTCGGTGCTCGACGATGCTTATTAGGAACCCCTCGGTTACCAATTTTGAAAATCACGCGTTTATAGCAGCAATTTTCTCATTGCGTCTCATCGAGCAACTACCGATTCAATTTCTGTCGCTGCGAATCGAACAATTGGATAATTCGCGATGCTGGAACAGAGTCCAGCATTGTTCGTTGTAAAGCTGAAATTGTACAGGTTTTCCAGCAGCAATTTGGAAAGATCGGAAACGAATAATTCTCGCATTCCAAATGAAAATGGATCGACGCGTTCCGATTAAAATCCGATGCGATTAACGCTGCTCGATCGAATTAGAATCGCGCGTCGTCGCGCTGAATTCCGCGATGACGTTCGAACGGTGCCGCCGGTGCAGCAAATCCTTCGGCTTCGATTTTATTAGACAGGTTCGACGATCCAGGGTAGTCGGAAGTTTGAAAAATTAACAACCGACGGACGCTCTCGTTCCGCCGGGGTCGTGAAAGCGACGTACGATAACGTGTGCTCGCCATTCAGCCGAACGGCTGCTCAATTATTTATTCTTTGAAAGAATCGTGGAAGATCCCCTCAATGCTGATTAAGTAATGACACCGTATCCGATTCTCGTCGGGCCAGACAATGGTCTATAGCTGTGCATTGTGCCTCGTTCGGAATATTGAAACAACCGGCGCTGTTGCAGTTCCTATTACTCGGGACGCGTCTCTGACATAGAAACGCGGCCGCGCCATGGATCATTTGTTCCTGACAATTAATCAACCGTTGCGCCGCGATGCCAGGACGCTCTGGTACTTTAGCTGCCGACTGATCTCCCTTACAAATAGGGACTGTCGCGAATCGTTATTGCATTATCATTTCATTGTTATTGCATTATTATTTCATTATTATTTCATATTTGCTCATAATGTTCAAGTTATGACACTCGAGTAATGTTTCTTGCAATAAATCTCGCGACTGAAACGTTCAAAAGACAAAAGAATAGAGAATTCGATTACTTTCCTACAACAGTAATCTCTCTCTAACTGACGCTCAGATTGGGCAGAAAAATGGACAATTTGGGAAGCGAAGATACGATTATTCGAGCCTTGCAGCTCGTTTTTTTTATAATTGTCGACAATTGGTAACTATAAGAACGAGTTGCAAGGCTCGAATAATCGTCCCTTCTCTTCCTAAATTGTCTATTTCTGTGGACAATCTGTGCGTCAATTAGAGAGACATTACCGAATATACGAAACGAGAGCAAATTATTATTTCTAATCTCTGCACCACGTTGCATCGAATTTCGAATAATTTGAATATATTTATCGGTTACATTTTCACGGTATATTGAATTTCTGTCGCAGGTGATCGAAAATGCCGGCCGTACCAGCAGTGGCGGAGGCGGCAGGGCAGCTGGAGGACCTGGAGGAGCCTCCGGAGCCCCGGGTCCGCGGTGCCAGCGGTAGAGCGGGCCTGATGAGGCCCCTGGTCGTCCTGGCGCTTCCCGGCATGTACCTCTTCTACAAGTACAGCCAGTACAGGCGGGAGCAACGGGAGCTGTCCCGCAGAAGGGTCACAGAGAGGGAGCTCCAGCATCTTCGTCACAAGATCGTGAGTAGCAGTAGCCAGAGAGTCCAATAGCCGACGGCGATATCCGGCGTTCCGTGTCTGTTTGAGTTTCACGCGCGGCTCGGCTCGGCTCGGCTCGGCGCGGCGAGTCCCCCCGTTCTGGAAACTGGTGTTTGCGTTACTTGGCACCGAAGAGGCCATGACACCGCCGGCGATCTTGCTTGTCCCACCTGTTGTGCCCTTCCGGGCCGCTCTATATTTACGGACAGATCAGTCCGATTTATTCCGAACGGAATCCAATCGGAGCCCATTATAATTTCATAGGGCCGACCCGCGCGTCTTCGCTCCCATTCGAGAGAGCCGGTCGATCGTCGCTTCGCTTTCCAGGGAAAGTGGAAACCTGCCGAATGCTCGTAAACGGACCCCCGGTAACGAATCCGTTCGAAGACAGGACAGACTTCCGGATACGAGAAGTCGAATCGCGCTAATTCCGGCGCGACGATATTCGCGGGAGCGTTTCGTTTGCCGGTGTGCAGGGCGCAGGATCGGGGGCCGAGGGTCGGAGCCAGGGCGTCGAGAAGCGAGCGAGGGTGGGCTAAGAAGTTTAATCGGCGGCAGATTTTGAATGGCGGCCTTTTGTGCTCGAGGAACGAACGAGATCTTGTCGGATCGGTGCTCGCGAGCTCCTCGGGCGCGCCGATGACTACGATTATCTAGGGACGATAGCTAGGACGAGCCTTCAGACACGATATCCAGGGAGATGAGGAAGGATGAGGAAAGTTCGGGATGGAAAGACCTGCCGCGACGGCGGGGCTAGGAGGGGTTCGATTACCCGAGGTTAACGCGATCAACGCTCGTTGGGAAAGACGCTGCATCGCCTGCCGAAAGCTAACTCCATTTGCCAGTTTGCGTGCGCGACTTTGTCGTAGATCCACGCTCGAGGTTCGTTACCGGTCTATCTCCTTTTTGCCGAGAAATTGATTGTTCTTCGCACAGATTCGGGACGAGCCGGATCATCGATGCAGACGATGATCGATAAGAGATCCGCGCGCTCGACGATCAGAACGGAGAGAAATTTCTCCGGCGAATCGAAAGGTTTAGCTCCGCGGGTCGCGGTAAAATGCAAATGTCACGATTTCGTATTTCATGAAGGAGTTCCAGAAACGGACGCGAAGCTCCACGGTCCACTCTCTAAACGTTGGTTAAAGGTAGGAAGCAATTGAAGATCGAATAAGTAGCTCGGCTTGCGATAATGTCAAGAGTCCATCGAATCGATTGTTCGAAATGGGATTATTTTACTCCGGTAACAAACTATTCATACTCGAGAAGGTCTTATCGTTGCTCCGCGGTAACAACGTTCGTTCTTGTTACTACGAAGTTGGGTGAAAATGTTTCCGAGACGAACACGAGGCGTGGATCCAGATTTTCACGGAAAGACTGTGATTAAACGTCGGTCGAACGCGGGAAGCGATTAAAGCGACCGGGGAGACCGTTCCCCGATAATGTCGGCGGCTAATTGAACCCGTTCTTTAAACCGGAATTATATGAACGACGGTACGTCTTTCCACGGAGTTGCCGGCGCCGAAGATTTATGTGCAGAGACTCTGAATGCCTATTGATTTCCGTGGCCCGGGACGATGTAGCAGCTGACTTAGCCCGGGCCCCATTAGCGAGACGCTCTCGAATCGTATATCGATGGCGTAGAAATTCAATATCGCTGGTCTGTCGGGGGAAATAAGGAACAATCGGTCGTTTCGCGTCGCCGTGGAGGTACCCACCGTTCCGCCATCCAATTTACAGCATCGCGTCGTTCCGATCCCCCGAAGCTCCGTCGATAAACAGCTCGGGAAACTTCGGAGACCTGTCCCACTATGCTTCGGAGTCTACGTCTGAAAACCGTTCGCTCGACGTTTTTATCAGCGTTTTCAGAGAGAGAGAGAGAGAGAAAAAGAGAAGCCGAAAGTACAAGTTTAGAAATTATCTCGGGGGCACAGAATTTTCATTTCGTGCAAATAGAGGAATCGGGACCAGTCTACGATCCTCCAAGACCATCTTCTCGAGTGCTAAATCGTTGAGAAACGTTCGGTCCGTGTCGCGAGTCTCGGTTCGGCGGCAAAACGGGACGATTAGCACAACCGACACGAGATGCAAATGCGACCGACGCGGACTCTGCAGCCGCAGAAGCGATTGCAGTGGCAGCGTAGGGTCACCTTGGACGGTTCAGTAGGTCAGCAGGCAGATTTGGCCGAGTCCGGGGAAAACGAAACCGAAAAAACAGCGGCTGTCAGGGCGTCTGCCAAGGAGCCAGTATTCACGGCCGTCGGATCGACGATCGGATAGCCGGGATACTCGGGAGAGCAGTTAGTATGACCAACATTCGCTTCCCGCCAACTGGAATCCCACCGATCCATTTAGCTTGTTGTCTCGCTCCTCTGATTTACGGTGCCGCCGCACCGAGCCGCGCCGACGAATCGAGGGCCCTATCGCCGACCGGCAACTAGGGATATCATAGGAATATCGCCGCTGTCCTGCCCGTTCGATCACCACTTACCGCGAATTCGATTCCGGCCGTCGTAATTCGCATGATTTAGGGGGCCGCGAAATGGGAGATCCTCCTTGCTCGATTACCCTAACTGGCTCGGCTCGCTGACCCCGGCCTAGGTTTTGCCTTTAAACAACCCCGGAGAATGGGATCCTTAAATGGAAGACCATCGTTTCCGTCGGAGGTTCGGTAAAAAGTACGTTGGGAGAAGGAGGATCGTTTATTTTGATCGTTGGAACTGATAATTGGAAAAAGAGAGAGAGAGAAATAGAGAGCCGAACTTCGGCTCCGTGATTTGGAAGAAACGAAATCGATTTCAGGAACTTTTTGGTACGTTCGTTAGGCGTGCCTTCGATAGAAACTCGTTATTAATTAGCTGTGAATCGTGAAGGAACGGCCGGGAGAAAAGTGGGAATTTTTACTTGACAAAGAATCATTTCTTTCGGTTAGGATTGCAACATATTTTATAGGAAAATCGACACGCGACATAGTGAAATTTAGGGAAACTGTAGAACCGTGAGAATCGCGGAAGTGAGAAGAATTGGAAAGATTCTAAAAATTGAAGAAATTGTGTAGAATCGAATTGGACCACGCTGTCGAAACGTCTCCTAATGTACTGCACCGGGCGCAGCATTATGCTCGTCGATCCGCGGGAGCATTCTCTAAGTCGTCGCTAAACGTATAGCTCTTTCTATAAAACTGCTGTTCTCTCTTTGATCTTCTTTGTGGAGCCTCTACAAGGATGCTTCGTGACCCGGCCGATAGAATCAGATTTCTGACGATAATGCTCTAACCTTTATCGGAATCCGTTTATCTAGTCCGTCACCCCAGCATTATGAATCAAGCTCAATCAACATCGAACGATCGACGCTCGATGCTGCTTCATAATTTCCTTCCTTCGATCCCCTTTGTCAAATCCTTCGATTGCGTACTTCGTGGCATCTCGCGAGTGATCATATTCTAATTTACATCGGAATCAGATTGCCAAATCCGGAGCTCGAATGATCCGGTTAATTTCTCGCAGTTCCTCGAACATTTTTCAATAAAATCGGTAACAGAAAATTTCAGTCATTCATTGCTTGACCAAAGTGGACTATTCGATGATACGTAAAAGAAAGAATAAGGGTGTCCTTTGCTCGTGGATCTGGTAGCGAAAATTATTCATACGATAAATATGGAAACATTTTTATCAATATGTATTAGCGAAGCATTTAAATAGAAAGGCGGAATATTCATATTTTGCTTTATTATATCCTCGAGTTTTCATCCCCACGATCTCGCTTAATCACCGTTTTGAACACAATTCCAAACGAAGTCATCGAAGAGATTATCGACGAATATCGAAGCATTTCCATCGATCTTTGCTGTTCGAACAGTTTATTGTGTCTTGAATTTCTTTTATCGTTCATTTGTATCTAAGCGCGGTCGTTTCGCGAATCGCGTTACGCCGATGGACCGTCGGAAAATCTACACCCGTCGAATCTCTGCGGATAAAATCCCTCGTCTCGCGAGAATCCGAACGTCGTCGATCAAACGATCGTTTCCAGGAGCCGTCTCTCGTCGAGGATTATTCCATCGGGTTCGCCGATCACGAAACTCGAGCGTCGAATCGGGAACCGTGGACCGTAGATTCGCGTGCCGTTAAACGTCAAGCAAAGCCTTGGAATTCGTCGACGTTATCGTGGCCCCCAGTCGATCGCGACCTTAATAACGAGCACGGGGCTCATTAACGACTGCAGCGGATCGCTGGATTATCGAGGATATCGTTAGCGGTCCCGACTTCCTGCTTTCGAAAAATTTCATAAACGTTCTCGCGTGCCACTAAACGCTGTTTCAGAAAACGCCGTCTTTGTCGGATCGCAGCGCTCGACTTTGCTTTCAGGTGTCCGGCAATTTGCACTCGGCTTTTGATCGAATCCGCGATTTATTTACCGCACACTGGGAATATTTAACGTTCGTTATTCTTTAAGTTACTTTTTTCAGTTTTATTCTAGATCTTTATTCTATAGCAATCCTTTGCTCGAAGCGCTCAAGGTTAGATTTCACTGCGACGCTATTAATCATTTCGCTCGTGACTTTGTTCCTGAAGCAAGATATTCTCCGGACATAAATCTGAGATATTTCGAAAATGTTATCTTTCTCGTTGAATAATAATAGAGAAATATTTCCGAATATTCAGTTCCCACGGAAAAGCATCGGATACGAATGATCGTCTATGTAGGTGAGTTGCTTGGTCTCGAGTCTTGAGATCCTTTGTTTTCAACCCCTTAACCGGTCACGTACTGTCTATGAGACTGCTTCGTCGGTAAATTCTTCGGCAACTCTCGCGCGCCTTAAGAAAAATCAGCACCTCTTAACCCGTCGACTCGACAGAATAAATATTTCGCAACAGCTTGCACCGAACTCTGCCAGCGTTCCCGGTCGAACGTCGATTAAATTTCTCTCGCCTACAAATTACGGACAGGCTTTCTTCCCCGAATTGCTGGACAGCTTTCGTAGT